TTCCAGTAGACCAGCTTCTACATAGATTCCACACATATTACAGTATGAGTGGTAATATAAAAGTGGTAACAGTGTTTCAATCCTTGACAAAAACATGAAAACAAACTTCTCACTCTTTGAGGAGAGCTTTGCTCACGTCCCGACAGCACGCTCATCCTGCTCTTTTTCCCCTCTTTTGAGCATCTTTTTTTTTTTTTTTTTTTTTTTAAAGGTGTGTTGGCAGGTTGGCAGGTTGGCACCTATTTTCCATAAATGATAGAGAGAAGGATCAGGAAGTACAGCTGACATATTTCCTCGTATGCCCCCCTACCATCAACACTTATCAGGAAAAAAAAGAGCCTGTATTTAATCAACTGGCTCTAAAATGATCATTTACATCTGAAATTAAGTTCAAAAGGAAAATGTATGTACATATAGTTAGGCTTTGGTTCACAAGCTAGAACCATGACTTAAACATATAGTGGGTTGTTTTTATAATCTGTCCATCTTTAAATGCAGTGACCAGACAGATGCCATGTAATTTGACTATTCCATAATGCCCTGAGACACTGGCCCTGCATATTTCTCTTCTTTTATAGCTCAGGAATAAAGAGGTTCTCAAATTCCAGGTAACTGAATCACTGAATTAAAGGAATGGGATTAAACTGAAAACTAACAGGTAGCTTGTGGAGCCGCTACATTTTCTGTGTTCTGTGTAAAGCCTTTACACACCGGACGAGTAAAATTTTTACCAATACTTCATACATTAAAATATTTTTCAGACTAATCCTTAATGCAGCCATTCACACCAACCGCGTATTTTCGCAGGACAAAATTTGGGCGTTTATTTTGTCAGATCAAAGTTTGATTTTATTTTTGGATGTGGATATATAATCTGGGCAATCAGACCACTACATTTGGCAGAAAGTCCGCTCATAGCTCAAAACGCACACCGGCACTAAATTTACAATGAGATGGAAATCAGACCCACGGCAAGGCTCAGGGTCAGCTGGCTCTCTAAAATGATTTCTCCGCCTCCTCAGATGTGTTCCCA